AGAGGTGAGACTGACTGGTCTATAGTTTACTTGGTCTTCATCTCTCACTTCAGCCCCATACTTTTCCCCCCAGTTGCCCTGATATCTGTTGATGGTACTGTGGTTTAGACTGGATCAATGGAACTACTGGGGTTTAAGAAGCAAACAAATGCTGCCACCACCACCAAACCCAAACTGACACTCCCTGGATAGCAGTTATTTGTAATCTAAGTGAGTTTTATAAACAGCTGGGTTAGCACCACTAAAGTGAGGCGATCCTGACAGCTGCCACTAGAAAACTAGTAAGAAGAGCACTAAGGTGGTTCTTAACACTGAGAATATATCACACTGAATGACCTAGCTGTCATTCAGCCATCATTTGTTCTGGATGTTCGTTTTCTGTTATGCAGAAGCAGTCAGAATACTATATAGGTAACAGTCAAAGTAATTTCCATGAGAATGTATGGAAACCACCCGTTCCTAAGAAGCAGAATCTTAGAAGATAGTCACAGAAACCAGAAAACAATTAACAATGCACAGATACTGAAAGTGTTATGAACAGCTGGTAGAATTAATGTACCTTTTGAAAACCTGTTCATACAGGTATCTGAAAAAATACTGGATACTTATGCTATACCATCACTGACCTTGAAGGGACCAGCACCTGTAGGTTTTGGGAGAGTAGCAAAAATATTACTCCAATAGTCTCACAATAAGTGACAAGAGAAGATAATTCTCTGTGTAAGCTGGAATAATTGAGGAATGCAAATGAGAACAAAATGCTATAGAAGCTACAGCTAAAAACTGCATTTACAACTTCCCATTTCTCCCCATACCAGTACATGCTATACACTAAAGTTAAAACTTAAACCCAACGAGTTCTTGTTTCTGTTCTTTTAGGATTGTCACGTAGCTCTAGAAAAAAAAAAAAAAAAAAAAAAAATCATAGTCCCAAAATGTGTTAAGGGACCACCTTTTACTCTGTTCAGGTTCTGCATTTCACCGTGCCATATGCCAATACTAGAGGTAGAACCCCAGGATAAAGTACATACCCTCTGTACAACTACATTTTGTTCTCAAAAAGGAAACCTATTTTTCTCTCAGTCAGTTTTTGACCAAAGCAAGATGATGCAAATAAATTCTTATTGCCATCCATGAAAGAAGGAAGTGATCAGAAGAAAAAACTCTTCTAGGTTTCCTGGTACCAAAGGTTCTTTAAGACTCACTGAGCAATGATAATGTAGCAATTCATGCAGTTGTTTCTAATTTCCATGAGAAGTTAGCTTACTACACTAACATTCAAAGCATCTCAAGTAACAAGGGTAATTAAGATACGGTTGCTATTTGAAGAAAAGCATTTACCATAAACAAGTTAATGTTTTTCTTTTATGCACATTATTTAACACCAGCAAACCGACAGCCAGTGAATTTAAGCTGGATACCAGCAGTATTTCCTGGCATGCACAAGTGCTCAGATATCTTCCTGTATCCAATGGCAGTACCTGAGCTTTCAGGTCTTCACTGTCTCTATAGACTAGAGAGAAGTGGAAGCCAGATTAAAGGACGCACATAAACCACATGTCCCAAAAAATCCATAAAAGTTATCAGTTTCTTTCTTAACCTTCTTTTCTAAGGACTTGTCCACCTACAATTTCCCAGTAATTTTAAGATGCACATTTTCTGAGGAGAGTTTGAGAAGTCAGTTTCAAATCTTACTATGACCTTGACAAAATCTGCATGGCCTTTGCATGGTCCACAACAATTCAATGCTGTGTAAATGTATGAACAGGAAACTATGGTACTGTCCTGTAGTACCATACTGCTCACAGAGCGGGGAACATTCAAAAGCTAATGAAGCAGCTTCTCTCTTAAGATGACAATTATCTGTGGCAAGTATCAAAGTTTACAGGACCAATTACAATTCCACCAAATCAAAAACGTATGTTCCAAATAAAAAATGTCATATAACCAAAGAAGCCAGTCACTCAGAAATTCTTAATGTTCCATGAAAGCGTTCTAAAAATACAGTGAGAGAACACAGCCTTGTCAGTTCAGTCAGGCTCAGAAAAAGCACCAGTAGATAGCAGAAAAGTTGACTTAAGTATGAGCTAAAAATGAAAGTTGGTGCTTTTCAATGAGTCTCTCTCAGAGACTGTGTGTTTTCTACCCACAAAAATATTTGCCACCATTTAAAGAAGCAGTGGAAAAAAAATGACAATGAAGTTAAAGCAGAGGAGATGACTGCAGCTTATGAGTAAATTAAGGCCAGGCTCCTTTGAAAGTGGATAAGTGCTTACAACAAGTCTAGTATAGGACAAATCACACAGAGAAGAAATTGAAATGACCGAAGATGGTCAATGGAAGAAGACAGCCTCTTGAAATATGTTTTGTGAGATAAATGGAAGAAAATGAATGGCTCTATCTACAGCTGCATTCCTGTGATCCAGCAGAAGACAAGCATGATGAAGTCTTGCAAAGGAATCTGTCCTACTTCACTAGATGCATATTCCTAGTAGGTTCTTACTAGGAATAAGGATGTTTAAAACATTTAAACATATTCTCTAATGAAGGTAATCATTCAATGCCCACACAGGAAGACAGATGCACTGTAGAAGTAGGACCTATACATGACTGACATGTTGTTCTTGGGAGTCACAAGCAGCACAGCAAAGACTATAAACTATGTAAGTCTTTGTATCTAAATGGCAATGGATTTCTTTCTTCTTTGCTCCGGGTGCATGAGAGTTGTAAATGTAGCTGTGTGATAATTACTATTTCTTAGTTCTCTTTCTCTTGGAGAATTCCAACTTGCTGAAAGTCACTCAAATGTGTTTTATTTAGCATCTACTTAAAGCCACCAGGAAGCAGATCACTGGAAGGCAGCAGTCCTAAGAAACACCACCTTCAGTAGCTCCAGTAGTTTTCAGATGGAAAAATTCCCTAGGTGTTTCATTTTCAGACAAGCTCAGGTAAAGCACAGTGGTCATAACCTGTACAAAATGAAATGTCTAGTACACATTCAAAGGTCAGGATCTCAACTCCAAGAAGTCTACAGAGATGACTTCATATCATTAAACTTATTATTCAGATCAATTATTCACATTATGTATTACTTTAAATGATTAATGATAAAATAATCTATAATTACTGAGCTAAGTACTTATTTTACATTCCCACATTAGTCATATCTGCAATGTGTATTTGTTACTAGAAACTTCAATGGAAATGGATAGAATCACAGAATATCTTGAAGAAAAGGACCCATGCCTCCAGTTGCCCAGACTGTCAGAATATTAGACTAGTATAAATACTAAACATTCATGAGACCATGGTTTTAAAAAAAAAAAAAAAAAAAAAAAAAAAAAAGAGACAGGCATAAACATATTATAATTATAAAAGTTACCTATCTGGATATTAAAAATCTGATGCAGAAAAGAAGTCTGAACTTACCAAAGACTTAGGCAGCTTTATGTTGTTCTTCCTTAGTTTCTTGCAGCCACAACATACTGTCAACATTAGCGTCAGGCTAAGAATAGCAACACACAGAACAATGATATATTCTGTGCCTAAGGAGTTAGAGCAAAATTGGTTAGGAAGTTTGGAAGAATAAAGCACTGCTGTATCATTTAGAATAACTTCAGAAACAGTAATAGCTCAGAATGACAAATACACATTATAGCCACGCAATTTACCACTTTTTTGCTCAAGAAAACTCAATTTATAAAGTATTACATTGAGTAAACAAAAATTAGAATGTCAGAAGATTTTAATTTCATATAAACAAATGATGTTTTATAGAGGTAAAGGAATCTTATTATAATTAATTTTTTGTTCCGTAGAGATGATGGGGGAGGGGATGAATAGATTTGTACATTTTACATGTTAATAGCTAAAATGTGAATCTTCCAAACCATAAAACTGTTAACGTTTACAAGTAAGATTCCGCTAGTCTGACACTCCTTAGCATCCTCCCCCCTCCCTCATACCGTTGCTCTTGCATGTACAAGAAAGAGCACAACTGTGTCTATCAATTTTCTCTCTCTTCTCTAGTTAAGTTTTGGGCCATAATGAAGTAACATTTAAAAGTTTTTAAGAGGTTATCAGAGATACAAAGTTGGGGCACTAGCTGCCTTTATTCTCTTTAACACATTAATACCTTAACTTTATGACAAGTTTATAGTTGCTTCAAACTCAAGAAAGCATACATATATGTTCCACACTGATGAGACTAAGCAAAAAGCCATTTGTTGGAAGAGTGAGACAATGCTTCTGAAAACTATGTAACTTGATGAATGATCCATTTGTCATTTGTTAATTACACCAAGGATCAGGTGCAAGGGAAACAAGTTTTATAATACCAATGAAGCAGGAAGAGCACCCAAAAAACCATCAGGGTTACTGGAAGGTAACACATAATCTTTACAGGTCTGTAGAACTGGGAAGTGCATTTGGGAAAGAATGACCTTTCCTCTTTTTCATATTCTCCCATAAGCATCCAAGCCATTCCATGGCTGTATCAGAGCTTGAATACCTCACTAGATCAGATCTCTGGTCAGACTCAGTATGTTCGTACTAAAGCTTTAGAATCCTCTTACTCAATGTCTGCTTGAGAGGAACATCAATGCAGCTTTCTTCTGATGAGGCACCAATCATCAGATTGCCATATAAAGTTCCCTTTGCTGAAACACAGTAGCAGGAACAGGTATGTTGACGCTACATTTATACATTGTACAATTGTCTTCAGGGAACTCTTCTTTGCTCTGCAGAAAAAATTAAAGTCACATTATATCATTTGACTCAACACAGCAATATAGGTATTACAATACCTTCCAATATTCCTAAAAAATCTTTAAACAGTATTAGGAATGGCTCCTACATCATCTATATGCCTTGCAAAAGCTGTGTAAACTACAGCCATCAACTTACGAGCCACCTTAAGATGCTCTCTTTGATCAGACTTTCCAGTAAAATTTGTGCTGTTCATGGTCTAGATTTGCAGCCCTAATTCACTTACAAAAAACTCGTACATATACAAAAAGGTAACTGCAAATAAACATTCCTACTACAGTTTTCCTCAATCATCCTCCATGATTACTAAATAAAGTGGTACCAGTTTCTTGAAAGGTAATCTTCTTAAATGAAATGTCTAGCTAGACAAGCGAAAGGTGCATAAGTAAAGTTACTAATGTTTTAGCAACACATGCAGAAACAATAGCATGGAATCCAGTAACTATCTTGTGCACACCTAATGCAATAATCTCATTTTTGTTATAAGACATCCATTTGGGCAACTAAAATCCAGACCTTCCAGTCACATATCTCACTGTCATACACTCGACATTTTAGGGCATCAGCAGTCCTGTGTTACATTCAACTGTTTTCTTGGTATCTGTTGCTCTGTGTGTCACAGGAGCTAATATCTTGTTTATGAGCTTAAGGTAAACAAGTATTTTTAATTTGAAGTTTTCATTTGGAACTCACCTGATTTTTACTATCCCCAAAAGTCACCAAATACATGATCTCTGAATAGATGTCTCCAATCCAAGGAAGAAGTTCCACAGATGGGAACTCAGGATGGTAAATATCAACCATAATTTTATCACCACGCCTTGAGAGATTCAGTTTTGGTGGTCCTATTTTTCCTGCAACACATTGCACCTTTGCTATTAGGCTGAAGCTTTTATCATAAAATATGCCATTTATAGTTAGCTTCAGAAAAATCAGAGATTTGAGAAGAATTACATGTTTATTTCAAAGCTGTCAATATTGTGCAGCTATGACACCTAGAGGTATTTGGATACATTCATGAATCTGCTTCTAAAATAGAAACAGAGAGTGTCTGTGCAGACTTTTGCTGTTAAGCAGCCCAACTGTCCTACATGCATAAGGCCATAGAAATTCAAATCACTGAAAACAGAAAAAACAAAGCAATTAAACATATATGTGAAGAATAGAACGCAAAATACTGCCAACTAGATCCCACCATAAATCAACACTCAACTAAAAACAATACTGTACTGAAACAAAGGTCACCTGAAAATCTAAACAAATCTCACCTTGAGCAACAGTATTCAGAAAGCCTGATTCCCCATGGAAATGACCTATGTGAATTTTTGGTATCTAATAATATGACTAAACATGAGTTCCAGCTAAACAATTATCATGCTTCATTTCATCCTAGACTCCTAAATTTATGACACCCCCAAATGAGATACAACAATACAGCAAAAAGGATAATTACTAAGGTTTTTAATTTGGGGGGGAAATTACAAGGTTTAGTTCAAGATGGAACTTACCATGCTTTTGCAAAATAAATTCATTTGTCTCAACATACTTGGACTGTTGTGACCCAACAACAGCTTTAACTCGAAGCCAGTGAGAGGCAAAAGGCTCATGTATTTCCCTTGAGAGATCACAAAAATGAGATGAAATGTTCACACAAGTCGAGACGATCTTATAGTAACCTAAACTGTAAAACAGATGAAGGAATAGTTAATACTATTTTAGCTGCACAATACTGTACAATACACTTCCAAAACATCTGGAAGGGTGACCGAGCACTGGCACAGGTTGCCCTGAGAGGTTGTGGAGTCTCCATCCCTGGATATATTCACAAGCCATCTGGACACGGCCCTGGGTGACCTGCTCTAGGTGATCCAGCTTGAGCAGAGGGATTGGAGCTCCAGAGATTGCCTCCAGAGGTCCCCGACAACCTCAACCACATTTGACAATTTCTCCTGTAATTTACACTTAGGCAACATTCACCCCATTGAAATAAAATAATTTACCACGGGCTGATTGCCTTTTTATGCTTCTAGAGAATATAAGGTACAGGAAATGACAAAAGAATAAGAACTTACTTGTAAGGTTTGATTTCCACAGTAAAATGAGGAGTTTCAGACATAGGTGGGTACTGCCAATGCAAGATAGTTTTGAAGTTTTCTGATGTTACTGTGATCTGCATTGGTGAAGGCACTGCAAAAAATAGAACAATTGCACTTTGATAAGCAGACCCAGTCAAACCTTAGAACAGCCAAATATATTTTCTAAATTATTTTGAAAAGGCAACATGCTAGAAATGACTGGAAAAGTTAGACATAAAAATCACAAATACTTCCCCTCAAATGGACTCGTTTGTCATCAGTATGAAGATGTACTAGTCCCACAAGATGACTTATTAATCTTCTCTCCCACAGAGACAGCTTTCTTACTGTTTGCAATCCAGAACCTCACATAACACACACACATTGAAAGCAAGTCCACCAGATAGCCCATATCAGATTCTTAATCTATGGTGATTATACCCCTATGTTGGTATTATACAGATATACCAACAAGACAGATAGCATGAATCTACTCAAGTCAGAGGAGATCAACCCAGCTCCTGTAGATTTCTCCTGCTCTTAGAAACTCAGATACCAAAGCTGCAGTACCAGGGTCTGTGCTCCAGGGGTGCCCTACCGAATCCTATAGTCTCCTAACTCAGGCTTGCCAAAAAACCAACTGGCTTGCCAGGGAATGCCTGTATTCAACACAAACTGCTGACTGACATTTTTATCACTCCTGTAGTACTTTTAGAAAGCTGTGATGTTGCTAATATACTACTAACATTTGTAAGGAATTTGAATGCTGAAGCTGTAATATAGCTCTATTTACAGGAAAGTGTTTAAAGTACATTCAGTAAACAACGTCAGAGGTAATGCAGTAAGAAATACAAAAATAAGCAGCAGCATTAATAGAAGCTTGCTGTATGAGGAAACTATTTTAAGCACCAACAGCGACAGGGATATTGGTGGAGCAGCTCCAGGGGAAGGAAAATTACATGATCTTGTAATTATTGAAGGCTGTTCACATGGGATTCAGAAGAAGAAACCCGAAGGTCACTCAATCTATTTCAATTGTTTCTTCTTAGCTTCTCAATGTCTAGTTTGGCTTTTTTAATATAGCTTTTGTGAAATGATGACAGTTAACTCATATTTGACCTGCTCTACACTGGTGCTTGCTCACAAAGCAAGTGTTCCAACTTCACTCTGTGATATATCGAAGTAAACAATTTTCACCTCTTGAGAACAAGACCACAAAGATGACACCCCACAGAAAGTAATACACAGAGGCTGAGATATGCTATTAACCACGAAGATATGATACATGTAACATGCATCACTGCAAATGGTGCTGTGGTTTAGTTATGTTTTAATACATTCAAAAGTGGTATTTCAGTTACTGGAAAAAAGAACACAATCATCAAATTCTCAACCACAAGGGGAAGAAAAAAAAAAAAGTGACAAGTTGACAGGAGAGGTGTCAAAGCACACAAGTGTTACTTCAAGCATTTTGTCTTAAGGCACAGCAGTTAAGTCTTACAAAATGTTACTTTTGTGTACTATTATACAAATAAAACTATGCTTAACAGAAGAGTGGAAAATGATATCCCAGAGCATATTTGCTCTGACAGTAGAAGCTACATGGCTTTTAGTTATGCTATAACATACCACTTGGCTTTCTTCTCCCTCATTCTTCCTCCCAATCCACATTTTTGTTTTATTTTGTATATAGTCAGAGTTGCTACCTGCTGTGGTTCAAGCCCAGCCGGCAATCCCGGACCCCCGCAGCCGCTCGCTCACTCCCCCTGCCCCTTCCTTCCTCCCCCTCGCTCCCGGAGGGATGGGGAGGAGAATCGGAGGAATTTAACTCCCACGGGGTTTGAGAAAACAGCCCCCCAGTAACTAAGGTATAATACAAACCACTACTGCTACCAATAATAATGATACGAGGAATAACAAAGGGAGAGGACACAACCGCTCACCACCCGCCGACCGATACCCAGCCCGACCCGAGCAGCGATCTGGGCCTTCCGGGTAACTCCCCCCAGTTTATATACTGGGCATGACGTGCTGTGGTATGGAATACCCCTTTGGCCAGTTTGGGTCAGGTGTCCTGTCTTTGCTTCCTCCTGGCTTCCCCTCCTCCCTGGCAGAGCATGAGACTGAGAAAGTCCTTGGTCAGAGTAAACATTACTGAGCAACAACTAAAAACATCGGTGTTATCAGCATTGTTCCCAGGCTGAAAGTCAAAAACACAGCACTGCACCAGCTACTAAGAAGGAGAATAAAATGACTGCTGTAGCTGAACCCAGGACACTACCCTGGATGTCAAGAAAGAAAATTTCTAAGCTACTCAGGGAGCTACTTAACAGTATCCCCTAGGGATCTGCTTATGAGGGCTAAGGGATCCATGAGCGCTGGTCAGCTTTTAAGAAAGACCTTTTAGAGCACAAGAGGAGACAATCCCATGGTGTCCTAAGTCAAGCAAGCAGGGCATACCAGCTTGGCTGAACAGGGAACTCCTAGTGGAGCTCACGAAGAAAAAGAAATCATATAATCTCTAGAAGCAAGCTCAGGCTTTCAGGAAGATTACAGAGCCATGGTTCGGAGGGCGAAGACACAAAAAGCAAAAGCTAGAGTTGAAACTGGACAGTGTTGTTTCAGATGAGAAGGGCTTTTTAAAGTACATTTTTGTGGGTTTTTGGTTGGGCTTGGGTTGTTTGGTTTTTTTTTTTCCTCAGTCTATAATAGTACTGGTAGACCTTGGGATACCTGATCCTCCAAGTCATAGGACCCTGAGTGCAGGAACAGTGGCTTACCACTTGTGAACACTGAAATTGTAAGAGGCCAGCTGTATCAGCTGAATGCCCACAACTCCGTGGGGCTTGATGGGATTCATCCCACAGCACTGAAGAAGCTAGCAGATGTTACAGCAGGATGCCTCTTGATCATCTGCCAAAGTTCTGGGGAGGTTCCTGTTGACTGGAAGGTAGCCAACACTATTCCAGTTTACAATAAGGGCATGAGGAAAGACCCAAGAAGCTACAGATCTGTTAGGGAACTTCAGTACCTGGAAAATTTATGGAGAAGATCATACTGGGTGCAACTGAAAGACATTTAAGAACACCACAATCATCAGGCACACTCAATGTAAGCTCAAAGGGAAAGCGCTGTTAAACTAATTTAATATCCTTCTACAACAAGGTCATCTGCCTAGCGGATGAAAGGAAGGCAGGGGATGTAGTTTCGTCTGGATTTCAGTAAGGCTTTTGATGGTGTCCCTCACAGCATCCTTCTGGACAAATCATCCAACTCTGAGATAAGCAGGTACCTGGCGCTCTGGGTGAAGAACTGGCTAAACAGCAGGGCTCAAAGGGTTGTAGTAATTGGGGCTACATCTGGGTGGCTCAATTCTAGGACCTGTTCTGATAAGTATTTTTACCAATGATCTGGATGTGGAGGGATCTACATAGACTGGAGCACTGGACATTGATTAATGGGATGAAATTTAAGAAGTCCAAATGCCAGATTCTGCACCTTGGACAGAGTAACTTGGGACACAAGTATAAACTGGGAGAAGAGTGTCATGGCAATATAATACTCTGAACTACTTGAGAATGCTGAGCAACCAACTAGTACTAAAAAGACTACTCCTCCACAGCTTCATGAAAGACTACTCAACCTAATCCTCTGCTCTTCTACCCAGAGATTATTTTTAACACGCTCCAGATCTGAGACTACAAAGGGACTAGCAGAGAACAAGCTTTCCTCAGAAAGACAACTTTCTTCACAAACAATACCACCACACAAACCACCTTACCAAGCACCAGGAACATCACCATCAAAACATCAGTATCTCCAATGGCACTACAAGTTGGCTTTGATCACTTATGGAAACAAGTTTTACACATACTGTCACACTTTTCATCCTTGCTTTTAAAAACTTTGCTTTCAGTGATCAAGTTAGTAAAGCATTACCCTCATTTTTCACTCTATATCCTCAAGATAGGCATAAAGGACACCTTTCAGCATGAGCTGAGAAGCTGAAAGTCATAACTTCACTTACAAACCAAGAACTAGTAAAGAAACAGGTTTACAGCACCCCTCCTCTGATCTCATTAACTTTTCCACATTTCACATGCCAAGAATTATCTTCCTCTCTCTTACTAAGGGATGACACATTATTCCTCCTATCACTTCCCTTATTCTTTACAGGCACCAGCCATCTTGTCTCTCAAGTGGCCTAACAGATATTTAGTAAACTGTTCTCAGCTTGTTTATTTTTGAGGTTTGCTGGTTCTACTTTAAAGCCAAAGAAAGCTTGA